AACTGCATATATACATATAATTTAAGGACAACATGAGACCTGATGGATCATCTAAACCATCCCATCCACAAACTAAACTTTAAAGAGAAAATAAAACACTTAAAACCAGCCTTTAACATTCAAATATTTATAGTCTTCCCTTAAACTCCCTTAAGTTAACTGCATCCACCATACCCAAAGGCTAACCACCATTAGAAAAATAAAACTGTCTTAGTTGAAGATGATTCCTACCCTCCCCAAATTTATATTTCTGTCCCCTAGTACTACTATTTTCACCATTTAATACAAAAAAAAAAGATGAATTCCCTTAACAATCTTAAACATCTCAATCAAATCCCACTATAACTCTTCTTCTTTCAAGAGCAAATTTCAGAGGTCTTAACCTGTCCTTGAATCACAACCTTTCTGTCACATGTATCATCTTAGTAGCCCTTTATTTTTCTAACAGGTGGTGGATGCGATAAATTTAAGGGAGTTTAAAAGATGGCTACATGAATATTTTAATAATATGCTCTGACTCTGAGTTGTCTTGATGTCCTTAAATTATATGCTAACACGTTAAAAGACTTTGATTATTCTACGTGTACTTATACTTACACACCAAAGAAAGCATGTTCAAAATAGACAATCAAAGATCATGGCAATATGTTTTTACATTAAAAAATACTTTTTAAGACTCAAGTAATAATTAAGCATTATGGGTCAAAAACTGACAAACATATAAAGTATTACAACTTGACAGATTTTTTAAAAATTCGATTTGATAAAATCTGAAATTTATAAGAAAAAAACGATTAAAACAGTGTATAAAAGCTGCTGAAGAGAGATAAACGAGAAAGAAAATATACGTGTGTACAATAAAAACTACATTTTCACCAGTAATATGTGGGCATCAACAGGTTAGAGTAATATAAATGAACCAACATACACACTAAAATATACATGACATATTACGTTAAACACAATCCAACTATAAACAAGGGGACAAAATATCTTAAAATTGATGGAAAAATCTGAAAACCAGTACAGAAGAAACCCTCAAAGGATTCCAGATTAGATCAAACAGCTAAATGTACTTAGACTTTAAAATATTCCTAACTTCTGCTGAAAATTATACTTATTTTACTAGAGATCACATTAACTATGCTTATATTAATGTTATAAACAGTAACAGACTGCTGTTTTTATCTTAAATCTGATTTTGTTGTATAACATTTATGAAAGAAAATAATTAAATATAGTCTAATACTGCCTATTAGCTTCGTGTGATCAGTAATGTTTTATAAATGTTTATTATTCTAATTAAACTGAACCTCAAGAGAAACTAGAATTCATGCATATTAAATAAAGAGAAACATACTTTCAAACAAATTTGTTATATTTTATACAGCACTGTTTCATCAAGCAAAATATATGCTCATCATTATTCTTCTAGCAATACTCACAAAGAAGGTTAATTACACTAATTTTGTTTCTCAACTTTTTAATAGTTGGAAAAGATATGATGAAATGGAATATACAAAAACCATTTATATGCGCATCTATAATATGGATATTCATTTAAAATACAAGACTTCATAGAGTGATGCAAAACTACGAAGTTGTCAAAGAAATGATGGTTATTAGTCTTTAAACAATTATTAAAATCATATTT